TGCATTATCGAGACATTTTGGAAGCCATGCTCAAATGATGCGCAAGAACAAGAGGGGCAACTCACCAGGACAGACAAGCTACCTTGACAGGAGGTTTGGCGAACTTCTTGCGCGCCGTTTGCTTTTGGTTTTTTTCAAATTGAGGCTGGCTATTCTGGGGATCATTGGGAGAAGCCATCCCCATGCGTGTTCCGTTCTCCAGAAGGAGCTAGAGGCAGAGTAATCCGCAGATGGCAACCTGAAAATTACTGCGATTGCAGCTTTCCCACTCCAGGAAAGCAAATCAAATCGCTGGCCTAGAGATATGTGGAGGGCCACGACTACAATGGGCGATACCCAAAAGGCCAAAGACAATAAATATCTCGAGTCCAAGGAGCGACGGATAGCCAACAGCTCTCCGCCGTGGGAACTGTGGATGTGCATATCCTGGAGACAATCTCGACTAGCGCGAGGGAGCCTTGTCATGTGCAGCCGAGCGGCGAACCTTGGAACTTAATCAGCAAACCCCGACGTCGCCTTTCGGGGTCTGTTCAGCGAGCGTGGCAGCTAAAGGTTCTGGCGGTCCCGGCGGAGGTTGGCCACGCGTGGGCCCACTTTTCCGGAACCCACCCATCCCATCTAAACCAAACTCATCCCAGTGACTAATCGGTCACGATAGCTAGTTACGAGTCAACATCACGGAAGGTCAACTCGAGTCAAGCTCAATTTGAATATCTCGGCCTAAGCTGTTGTTGATTGGCGTGCGGAAGTATAGTTGTCTATAGAATGAAATCATAACAATAACACCAAGCCACTCCAAAAGCATCCGGAATCTAGCTAGCAACTACCTGGAATGTGAACACTATCCCATACACTCTGGGAGACTCTAATGGGGAGCTTTCGTCCTTTCAAACTCTGGTCGATTAACCACATGCCCACCACAAATTCCTGGCGAGTGAGCATCCTCCTGTTGTCGTGACAGACAAGATCCCAAATTTGCCCAAGGAGGATGGGCTGGAGTCGACTGCGGGACCATATATCCCGCACAACCAGATTCAGCACCATCTCTCGCAGTGGAGTCGTAGAGCTCCCAGGCGGGGAGTTTTCATCAATCAACAGGCCTCTGTTTGCAGCCCATACCCCTTCATACCGTTTCCGTTCGCGTTCCGTGATTCTATCTCGCCACCGTTTTCGATCGCCCTCCCGATGCTTGTTGGGATGTGTTTTTATGATGCGCGGCCGCTGGAACTTTCTCCGCCGTTTGGTTTCGTTGTGGTCGCTTTTCGTTTCTTGGCGTAACGTCTGTCTCATTCCCTTGGTTGGACTGGGCGTTCGAGGTAATGGATTTCTCTGTGATGCAGAGCGGGAACCTCGATCCGCGGTGGCGGTGGCGGAGGAAT